TCAGTTGATAAGAACAAAATAAATTTATTCATGTATCATAAGTGTTTCAATGAAATTTGTTAATATTTTCATATTCAGTGACTGTTGAAAGTTATGAGTATACTAATAGTGAATTATTCAAGGTATCAGCTGTCAATAGTTAGATCAATAGTTTGTACTACAACAACCTTTATTCAGAAAAACTGTTCATGGAGTTGTAAACATTTATACAACAGTTATAAATGATTGGATATTATGTCACTCTTTGGAAAGATATTCATGTATATCCGTACCTTTTCATAAAAGTATAAATGAGATAGTTTTTAACTTTAAATCGACAATTAGGATTAAACGGGAAATTGCTATTCGATACAAGGTCACATTGCTAATTAAATAGATCATGCTCTGTATCATCCATAGATTTTTACCAGATATTTGGAGTCTTAAAAAACCTGTTTGCTTACGTCTAGTATTCTCCTGTACTCATCTCAAAGTTACTTTCTTTGAACACTACAATGTTGTTATATCCATATTTTAGTAGAAATCTATTTTCATAGTTAAATGTATATCTTGATACTGACAATGGATTTATGCATTATCTTTGTTCACGGTTTTTAATAAATCTTATCTAACCGGATATGACTCTTTTAGTCATGAGACAAAGCTAGTAATTTTATTCATTAAAAAAGCCTTATCCTAGTGTACTCATATAAGTTATTATGTATTATACAGCAAGTGAAATTTACCAACATTGATTTCAAAATTCGGAAGATTACATGAAGTAAAAACAGTCCGGACGTATTTTTTGATTGAAGCCTACCGAATTTGAAAAAGAAACAGGTTATTATAATACTATATATTGTCTTTAAAAATTTATTACAGTTCACTTTGTAAGAAATAATTTACTTGAACGATCAAAGAAAACTCTTGAAAAAACTGTTTTGGAAAATGTTCAACTAAAAAGTACTCACTGAAGACAATGGTGGACGATCGCGCAGTATAGTAGATTGGTTGAAGTTAGACATTACCACGTTGGACGTCTGATCAGTGGTCTAGAGGCTAAGCACTCCCGCGCAAGACCGGAGTTCTTGGGTCCGAGTCTCGCATGCAGGATCGTAGGTGCGCACTGCTGATGAGTCCCATACTAGGACAAAACGTCTGTACAGTGCTTCCAGGTTTTCACTGGTGGTCGAACATTGATCCATTAATGACATCGAATTAAACTAAGAAATACTATTTTAAAACAGAATGAAGAGAACGTCACCTAAGTATTGTGTTTAAAAATTATTCAAACGTAGACCATATTTTTATACAGGGTTACAAAGAACGTACGTTTCGTTCTTATTAACTTCAAATGTATTCGCCGATTCGAATACTCCTGAGAAGATAAACATATTCACTTAATAAATAAACATACTTCTGATTTATAAATAACGTTAGGCGTTGAAATTTATACAGAATTACAATAACTCACTATTCTACCGGTATATCATATCGTTTTTTTCGTGTCAAGTGAATTCAGAGTTATTAATAGATAATGAACTTCAGTTCCCTTCAGTTAAACATCCTCAAAGAAAGATTTCTGTTATAAACATTCTTAAGTAATCTCTAGTCTCCGGATTACATGTTAACATGTGTTATTTTCTGGAAAATGGTTCATTAATACAAACTATTGAAAATTTTTCTTAATTCTTCCTCTCTGTGCGTAATAACAATAATAATATCATAATTACTATTATTATTAATGGCTTTACCGATTTACTGTTTTGCTTCAGATGATTTTCCCACATGATTACATAATTACTTTAGGTATATTTTCTTCCCTTTTAGCTTTATGTTTACCTTAACTATCCCAAGATATCATTTCCTTCAATCAGCAGATACAAATTAATACTATATTAACCAATTAACATTAAATATAGTATACTTTGAAGTTAGATCAGATATACTACCATGATTAGACTACATTATAAATCCATGTATAGTCAATACACATGAATGTATACATTGAATATTATAATGTTCTTAAACTTCATTCTAATACTGTAGTTCGACTTAACTACATAAGGAGTATCCATGAGACGAACTATATTTAGTTATTAAATTAAACAAACTTAATCATTTTTTCTACAAAATATTTTGTCCAATCATCATGAATTTCTGGAATTATCGAAGTCTTTGAAAAAATTCGAAATAATGGTATTCTGTTGTATTTATCTAATTAAAAAAACTACAGTCAGATTATCACATTCGAATCCCAGAGTGAACATCAACTCTGAGATGCAGGTACATCCAGCTGACGGGTCCAAAATATGGCGAAACACGCGTCTTGAATTTCACTGCTAGCCACTATCCATCTTTGCTTACAATGCTTATGAAATAAGGCTATATCGAGGCAATAATCACAGTATGTACATATGCCAATTAGAGACTGACCAGTTGCAGTCCTAAACATCAATGGGAAGAATCGAACAAACAATACTAAGTGAATTTGTCACATTAACTGTTCATCTCAGTTTCTTTTTCTAAATTTCTCGAGATCATCATTAATATCTCAAATCAACTATCGCAAAATGCTCGCATCAAACATATAAGAAAAAAATGGAAACAGATTGCATTACTAAATTTATCACAATAAATAGCCTGTTCGATTCATACTTTCACTATGGTTACAAAACAGACATTCTTCTAATTGGCAGTACCACATAACATAAATACTGATTTCATATTATCATCATCATTATCTTTACGTGTATAGTTGAACTTTAAAAAACTACATTAAATCAACTCTTCTATGGTTTATGCTTCGTTTGTCCCATTTATTTCCATTGGCAGAGTGAATGATTTTTTAAATTTTGTGATTGACCGTTTAGGCATTACGGATTGGAAATCCTGTTGATTTCATTTGTAGACCCTTCTTTTTTCAGTTTTTATCACATTCCAAATCATTAATTATTGTCCATTGATTTTTTCATTACGACTAAACTTATTTCTTTTAGTCAGCATACTATAGATTTGCTCTAATTTTCTAAATTTTTTGTACTGCACCGGAGAGAGATTGACAAGCGTACTCACATATTCTTATCCACACTTTGAATATGTGAATAACAGCTTAGATTCCAGATTGTATCTTGTTTATCATACCACAGTAATAGTAATAACCTAGTGCTCATAAGTTTTGAACCTCTCAGTTAGCCCATCAATTATTTTTCAGTATAGCTAACTATTCTTCAGTTTCAAGGATTTCGTTCTAACCGTATTGACTAATATACAATGTACGCATTAGTAACTAATTTCATGAGGTAACTCCAAATGTCTTATTGAGAACCCGTGAACAATGGAGCTCAAACGTGTTGGATGTGAGGTAGTTACTAGTTGTGCAATATTGTGGGTTGGTTAAAGTTAAGCATGTAAACCACTGTTTCCCGACTCGGTGATTTAAAGCTTAAACAGTACTATACGAGACCTGAAGTTTCTGAACTGGATAATAAGTAGGTTCAAGAATGCGTGATTTTGTGATTATTTCCACAATCTCGTCGATGATAATTTATCATTCTGTTAACTTTATTCACATATATCCTTCCCAACAGTTGTAGATAAACATGTCTCCACAGTGTAAGACTGGATCACTGATAGGTCATTTTGAAACTCATGACTACTTGACTGAATGTTACGATTAGTGTTATGTTTAAATTCATCATATTCTTTCTGACAGAAAACTGAAACTACGATAGGTAATTTTCACTATTATGAACCATGATAGTTGTATTTTGACTGTTTATTAACCAGGAAATGCACTGAACTAATGATATTTATATTCTAAACACTTTTTTTCAGTGGTGCTTACCTTTTACACAGATATTAACATTATCTGAACACTGTGTAGATTCAAGAATTTAGAATTGCCATGATACTATATTTCTTCCAATTCATGAGATTCATCCTGTAATATAATCAAATCTCTAACAAATATCCTGGTATTGTATAGTTACCGTAAATATCACTACACTTATTTCAGCTACTGTTTCTACCGTATGATAATCCAAATAATATTTAGAACTTGTCACTACATCGCAATATTAGTCCGACTGCTTACAACTTAAATTCAGAAAGTGCGTTTAGTATGGAATATTGAGAGCAAATACTTTCTACTTTTACCATGAATTCATGAATACATCAGAGTAGGTAAGCAACTGTCGTGAATTTATCTCATTTACATTAGACTTGTAGTTTAAAAAAAGTAATTCCAACAATAACGATAACAGTAATAACAATAATTAAAATAACAGATATATCGTTTAAATGGAAAAATGAAGATAAATTCTAAATTTAATGTTGTCGGGTCACGGAAACATTAAAAATGTCAATATAATTTGTCATAATCATAACAAAATAAAAGTAGGAAGGGTCAATGAAATTCAATTGATTATTCTCATTTTGGATGAAAATCAATTATGTGGATATTGGTAGTATTACTGCCTATGCATTGTCTTTTATAAACTAAATCTATGATGACACATTATGTGTACTTGTTGAAGAAATACACTTTCTGAATAGGAAATAGCAGATAATGTAATGTCATATTGTTTATTGATGACTGGACAGAAAACACAATGAAGCATGGAATAAGCATAAAATATTTAGAGAGAATGATTCATATTAAGCACATTAATTTTAATGAGTATCCTTGCTGTTTCATTTATTTGTATAAGGGCGTATACTCAATAGATATAAAGAGAATAAAGGACTAATTTGTTAGTTTAGTTATCTAGTTCAGCCAATGATTTAAGAAATGGACAAACAACTTTATACTCAATAAATTCTGGTTACTTTTAGATAATTATACAGTTTTTATTATCGTTATTATTATTCATTGTCATAATCATCAACACCAAACCCATTTTCTCTTTCTCATCAATGTCACTGGAATTCTGTGGGGTTTGCTTTTTGTCATTCATTGAAATATACAACTGATTAAATATTAGAATATGTGAATATTTGTGTATGTATACGCCCATAGATTATGTACAACACACTGTTCTGTTTGTATCAGACTTTTTGCCAATATTTCTTTCTAATGATGTTGATGATGATGTAGTTAATGTGACAACTGCAACTTGTTTATCTTCATTTAACTTCATACCTCTATAATTATAACAGTAAACATTAATGATAACATATTTTGTTATTTACATTTATTGTGTATCTAAACAAATGAATTATTTTAGATGAAACAAATAAGTTTAACAAAATACTTCTTATCATGAATAAGCAGTAAAATTCATCCTCACAGTGTAAACCAGTAGCTATTCAGACTGAGTGACCTAATGAACAACGCGTTGAACATTTGAAGTAAAAAGTATTGGGTTCGAGTCTCGATATGAACAGGAAATCTATAGTCTAAATACGCCCAGTTGATGAATCCTGAATTCCAATACTAGCCCTAAGCCATTTTCACTGAAGTACTTGCGACCCAATGACAATATCAAAACAATCTACACGAATGTGTAGAAATGTTAACAAAAAAACTGATCGAAATTTACTCCCTAACATTACCAAAGAGTAGATTCAAACACTTATAAATAAAAAATCCTAATCAAATTATTAAATGATCACTATCAGAAGTGGGTTTTGTGGAGATTTTAGTAATTTTATATAGTTGAGATCGTGAGTCAGTTGAAGCCAGACCACCATAGAAAACCTGAAAGCACTGGACGGCCGTTTCGTCCTATTGTGGGACTCCTCGGCAGTGCGCATCCACGATCCCGCCTCGCGAGATCCCAACCCACGACCTTCCAGGTTTTCCATGGTGGTCTAGCTTTAATCAACTCGTGATCTCAACTATATAAAATTACTAAAATCTCAACAAACCCCCCTCTGATAATGATCATATACTCACTAGTGACTGGCTACATGAGGTATTTCCTGGAGTTCTAGTGAGAAGCAGTGACAGGGGGAGTTCAACCAGGTCTGTTGGAGATATCCACTCACTGAAGACAGTGAATGGTTGCTCAATTTCGTGGATTGGTTGAAGTTAGGCATTAACACCGTTGGGTGCCGGCCATCTCAGTGGTCTATCGGTTAAGTGCTCTGGTGCGAGACTGGTAGGTCCTGGGTTTGGATGTCGCGAGGCGGGATCGTGGATGCGTACTGCTGAGGATTCCCACAATAGGAAGAAACGGCCGTCGAGTGCTTCCAGGTTTTCCATGGTGGTCTAGCTTCAATCGATTCATGACCTCAACTATATAATATTAAATGATCAGTTTGACATAAATTTAATTGACAAGAAACAAAGATAAAATTAAAAAAGAATTAAGAAACAACTGTTCATTAATATTTACTCTACATAGAAATGGTTTTACATTATCCAGGGTTTAAATTTATGAAGTCTCTAAAAGAAAATAATTGTTTTCTACATCTATAAATGAAATAACAATTCAAGAATTGGTAAAATAGTAAAAGTTTAGTTATTTTGTTTCATCCAAATATGTGACAGAAGTGGTCAGAGTTTTCAGAAATAATATTTCGTAAATCTATAGTATTGAGATGATTACTTATGAACAAATCGTAACTGAACTACTTATTAAAATCTGTCGATAAAAATTGTCTGAAACATTACTATACACTAGATTTCTTATTTATTAGAAGGCTATAAAATGGAAACCATGGTAATCGAGTTCTGTTCATTCTAATACTCATTAATATTAAGATTAGGTAGACTTGGTTCAGTAATTAGTAACTCAAGATTTTTCTTATTTTCAAATTCCTAACCACATTTCTTTTGACCCATGAAGACAAATTATTTTTCTTACATAGCACAATGTAATTCCACATGGTTGGAAGAATATTCACAATGAGAAGTTAAAATAAACTGTCGAAGTGTCTTTGCTTTATGTAGGAATTGATTGCAAATCGGCAGTTTTTACATGCTATAATTAAATTCAATACCTCTAAACTGAAAAAAGCAATAAAACTTGACGCTATATCTGAACTGTATTAAATTTTACCTAACTCCGCCTGTAGCTCTTCTAGGGTTACAGTCTATCACAAACCCGGGTAAAAGAAGAGAATTAGACATCAGATCAGCAACCCCATCACGTAAAAAACAATCTTGCTAAAAACGCTAACCACATTAAACAAATTAGACCATCTAAACTCTAACCTCAGAGTTGAATGGTCTTCATTCACAAGAATGATGACGCCTCTTAGTAAAGCCGAGATTCTTCGGAAGTCACCATTCCAATGTAACTTCTAACAACCAGAGCAACAATTAATATAGATAGGTGGAACGTCTGGATAATACGGGAGATCGAGAGGACTGATTCACTAGCTACGGAAATCAGGAGATAAAACTTGACGGTACCCAGAATCAGCGAAACCCATTGCATCCAAGCTAAACGGAAAAGGTTAGGTACGTGAGAGATGCTGCTGTACTCCGGTCAGGAATAGGAAAAAGTTCCGCACACTCAGTGAGTTGTCCTGATGCTGTCTAAAGAAGCACGTAATGCACTTATAAGATCTAAATCTCATGGATCCACGATCATAAAAACATCATTCAAAACAAAGATAGAGGATATCCAATGTTATGCAACTATCAATGGTAGCAATGATAACGATAAACATCAGTTCTACTTAAGGCTGCAATCAATCATAGGGAAGTGCTCAGGAAATGACATGACCATCCTTATGGGAGATCTAAACACCAAAGTCGGACTGTACAACACCAAGTTTCAAGATATCATAGGACGATATGAACTAACTGGGAGAAACGAACGAGAATTGCTCAGGACAAACTTAGACCGAGAGTGCTAGTAAATGGCCTATACACCTCGACGACGGTTAACAGGAGTAATTAAGTAAGCATATAATCTACTTAGTTACATTAATTTTCAAAAAATCAATGAAGTTCCCTGTTTACTGAGTTGATTTAATGTAATACTTACCATTAAGGTTTTTTGTGCAATGTTAACAGTTTATGCCAACTTCATCAATTATAAACTCTTAGAAAATTCAATATACATTGAATTTTGAACATATTCAACTAATGAATAACAAAATGAGTGAAATTCACTCAAAGTCACATGTATAAACTAGTTTATTAGCACAATTTATTTGACTTTGAAATTTATTTTTTTACCATAATGTACACTTTATTTTAAACTTTATTAGTTAGCGCTATAAATCTTTATCTGGCTTACAATTCAATGTTCATTTATTAATAGTGACTTTATTCAAAGTTATATGTTTAGTACAATATAAAATTCTTAGAACAAAACATTTCACCAAGTTTCTTTCATAAAACAATAAAAAAAGAAAAAAAACACGCACCGATAACTGGATACATAAATTTAATGAACAAACTACCTGGAATTTAATGAAATGTTTTTTTTTCTTTTTTTCATTTTTCAAAACATTTGAATCTGTACAATATTGTTATTAGAAACTTCTTTAAGAATACAAGTTAATAACTACTAGGTCATCTCTAACAAATTGTTCATCACATGGTATATTGATTAAGTAAAGTGTTATATAGTTTTCATATCTTTGTTTGCGTGGATGGATTCTAATGTATTGGTGCCTCGTTTTACAAGAAGATATACATTTATATATTTAAAAGGTAAGATAATAAACAGGTGTACAATCGTATTTTAAAGGAGAACCTTTTTATGTTCCATTTAAGATATTTAATACTCTGAATATGATTATCCTTAAATTTCCTAATAATTTTATTAATAAATTTAATAATTCATTAATTTGAATTTAGTATTTAGTGATAATATTTTAGAACAATTGAAATCATCAAACAAAATAAAGTGTTGCCATTCAAAGAGGGACTAACATTGATTCAGCTATGGTATGGTTTTTGTACTGGTCCACCCAATAATTAAAACAAATAATGAATACAATCATTCTGCAGTGTAGCTATTCAATATTGTCCTCATCAATATGAATGTCTACGCATACTAAATATAATATATTAGTAGTATAAAGATTGTATACAAAATTATTTTTACATGATATTTCATTAGTATTTTAAAGTAATTCATAAAAAAAGGGAAATGTAACTTCTTCCTATCTCCCCAACCCTCTAAGATGAAAACATTTGGAAGTCTGATAGATTAAACATCAAGGTAGATCAATGACAAGGAGTTTCAGATGCCCTAAAAACAACTATCTTGTAAAACGACGTTCCTTAACTTTTATTAGAGTTTGTTCATCTCGGACAAAATACTTAGTAGAACAATTAATGACTTAAATAGTTTCCAACCAAACATTTTATTTCAGAAAGAAACTGCAATAGAATCTCAATATTAGATTTTACCTAGTTTTATCATTCCCATTGTCAAATATGAATCTTTTAAACGATGTGTTTTTATTTTATGCACTAATCTTGATTCGATTAGAATATATAATTTCTCTGAAAACTAGTTCTGTTATATATAATAGAACACGGACACTGTGAAACCGTTTAACACTCTGTTTATTGATTGAATAAATATTCGAATAGAAACAACCGATCTAACTAAAGATGGATAGTAGCTAGCAGTGGAATTCAGGACGCGCGTTTCGTCCTATTTGGAACACTTCGGCTGGATGTACCTGCATCCCAGAGTTGATGTTCACTCCGGGACTCAAACCCAGTACCTTTCGCTACAAACGCCATCGCGTTATTCACTAGGCCACTGAGACCTGATAGCCATATGCTTGTGCAATGGGTTGAAGTTGAAATTTACTTAGTATTGTTTGTTTGGATCTTCCCATTGATGTTTTTAGGACTGCAACTGGTCAGTCTCTAATTGGCATATCTGCATACTGTGTGTATCGCCTCGATACATCCTCGGTACATCCAGATGACGAGTCTCAAACAAGAAGAAACGCGCGTCCTGGATTCCACTGCTAACCACTATCCATCTTTGCTTACCATACTTGTGAATTTATGCTATATCGAGGCAATAAGCATAGTATGCACATATGCCAATTAGAGACTGACCAGTTGCAGTCCTAAACACATCGATTGGAAGATCCAAACAAACAATACTAAGTAAACTTCAAGCAATCTAACCGTTCAGATTCTTAAGAAACATTCTTTTTAAGTTATTTTTATTTTCATACATTATTTTTTGTAATTTACAAATACTACTAATTAACAACAATTTAATTGATATTGGTTAAATTATTAGTTGCTATTTTGTAGAAAAAAAACGTTGAAATATTAACTGAGAAAACCAATTTTTTTAGTCTATTTACTTTTGTTTTTAAAGAATAAAAACCACAGTTTTCCGCAAACACAGAAGGGAAACAGTGAAATTATACTTTGGATTCAATATGTCATTCAAGTGTCGCAACTCAACTGTCATTATTGAGTCACGATTCCTCATTAAGAGATCATCTTTACAATAAATTATATATATATATATATATATATATATATATATATATATATATATATATATACGAGGTTTGCAAATTTAACTTACTCCGTGAGTAGTTCAATAGCTTCAGTGATATTATGCTTGCTTAACACACTTGTTTCAATGAATAAAACGTTATGTAACTAAAAAAAGAATAAGGCAAGAATGTTTAACATGATCAATGTTTTTCTGAATGCAGTTATGTCAGAAAAAATCAATAAATAATTATTGCGAATTTGCATTCTACGATATATATTTAAAAAAATATTTAATTATCCAGTATAGTTTGATCATTAAATTGAAAGACAAAACAATTTCGGTATCTAATTTTTTATGAATAAATTGAAAGAAACTTTACAGAAGTCTTTCAGGCAATGTTGATGTAGATGTATGATAAAAGTGCATTACACCAATCTCTTATAATAACCAATAAGTGTTTTGATCTAATATTCTTAGGAGTATTTTAGAAGGGAGTAGTAACAGTTTCATACCTTAGATTTATAAAGAATTTTAGTAAAAACTCAAAAATACAATAAAACTGAATGTAAACAAGTAGTACTGACAAATATATGTCAACAACTTTGATAATGGAATGTTTCTATGCTAGAAACCATATTTATAAATCGTTTTAAGTCAATACATAATCTCTCAATGGATATATATATCATTACATTAAAGGAAATATGTGAATACTGTTTATCGATTATTATTACATACTAAGATGTAGCTCTCCTAAAGTTACTGCCGGTTCTTAACCCGGGTGAAGGAGGAGAGTTAGGTATGGAGTCAGCAATCTCATCCCATGAAAAAAAAGCTTGCTAAAAGACGCTAAGCAGAATAAACATTTTAAATGAGTAAGAGTCAGACAAATAATTTTAATAATTTTTACATAAATTGATTCTCTTATACAAAATGAAATATTTATGACTTACTTTAGCTACATTGGCACCCATTTCATATGTGATGTGCTTGTGCGACTCATCTTGTTTCATTTCATCATTAATATTATAACTTTCTTTAGTACTGTTACTACTGGTATTGCGTAAATCAACTTTATTACCAACTAGAAGAATTGAAACATTTACTTCACTTGTCGATTCCTTTTTATAAAACAAAAAGAGGTTTTTGAAAAAAAATTGTGAGTAATTGCACGTACATATGACTTTAATCATATGATTCTGAATTTTTTTCAATGGTTTTTATTATTATGGTATTCAACCACAACTAATATTATTACTTGTTGAATAGTTAATTTACCACATCATATGCTTTTGTAGACACAGTCTTTCAGAAAGTTTTCATAACAAAATAGTTTGCATTACACGAATAGTTTTACTAAGCAATATAACCAATTGAAGATTATTTACGTTTTGTAGACTTAAATGTAATCTTGACTTATCCTTGATCACTGAGCATATCGAGGTTGGTGATTTACCCCACAATGATGAAGTATTTAACCAACTAGTATTTAAGTTGGATTTACGTAGATAGTTATTAGTTACATGGTTAATACGATCACAAATGATTATTGATTTTGAGATCATGGATTCAGGTTGGCGAATAATAGTTCATGTTTAGATTTAAATCTTGATTTCTTCCTAACATGTTTATTCCTAGATCCAGTATATACTGATAAGAATATCTAAGTGGCATTGCATCTAATATAAATCTCTATAAAATTTTCTACAAGTACTTATTAGCGTAGAAATTTATTGTCAACTAGTGAGTAGTCTAGTCTCAAGTCCACATTAAAATCTATACGGTATTGTTAGGAAGTTTGGTGACTCTAAATGGTATCAGTTGTTGAATAATTAGTTAACCTATAAGCAAAAATATATTATTACCCTCTAATTCAATTTCAAATAGCTTGGATTATCGCATTGTTGATATTCTGGCTGAAATTTTACCAGCCTGGGTTCGAGTCCCAAAGTGGACATGAATTCTGGCATTCAGGTGTGTCAATATGGCAAGTAACAAGTAGGATGAAATGAGCGTCCTGGATTCCACTGCTAGCCACATTCCATCTTAGTATTCTTTATTTGTGACTAAAAGAAATCTCTGGAGACTTCGTGGGAAAAAAGTAATAGCGGTATATGCTACTTAAAATGTAAAACTTGAAATAATATCGGTGGTTAAACGGTTTATGTATGAAATGACATGTCATTTATTGCTTTATTTACTTTCAGCTAGTAGTAGAACAGTGCAATATCACATAAGATATGCTAAAGATATAAAACAAATGAGAACTCTTATGTACATGAACTATGCAATAAAAGAGCAAACTTCCTATCATCTAGGATAGATAGAATTTCATCTGTTAATTAAATAATTAATCATAAACAATAAGAAATAGTTGTCTTTCAGAAATGTCAACTACTTTGAGAACGAAACTTTTCTCCATTAGATCGTCTAATTTATGAAACTAAGAGTACCTGTATTTTAACACACGTTTATTTATGGTAACAATTGATATTAATAACCTTTGGTTGGTGACTAAGTTGCCCTCGTTTTGAGATTTGGAGGTCTTGGGTTCGATCTTTGGTAGGGTTGTAAATAAGCACTACTAAGGAGTCATATGCTAGGATAAAGCAACTATCCAGCTCATTCTGGTTCCAGTGGTGAATTTGATAATACTGAACAATATTCACGAACCCTGTATGCTGATGTAAAAAAGTTGGTTGTCTAATAATCTAATTACCCATTCTGCCGTTTTTCAAACACTCCATGAAACAGTTGTTAACCAAATAGCAAATATTGATAAAAAACAGACCTCTATGCCGAAAAATCGGATCTTCCTAAAAATCAGTAGTATTTACCTAATCCTCTGACAACATTATTCTTTAATCAGAAATATCATAAAATCTACCTACTTTTATCATTTCCATCCAATATTTGATATTTGTAAATGTATCAGGTTGATCAACTGCATACATTAAAACTACACCATCAATTTTACGGAAATATGAACGAACAATACAACGATACCTAATAGAAAGAATCGTATAAACAATAGAATGCATTTATGCACTTACCATTGACTAAATGATAAAGTAGACGCTATTTTCATATTTTTTTAAACAATATCAAAGTGGCCAGCAAATAACTAATTAATTGTTAGATACAAGTGTATTCTGATAGAGACTGTTCACAAAGTGAAAGAAATATAAGTTTCAGTTATAATTAATACAAAGCCTGACACCAATGTGAATTAGCCTACATTTCCATCCGACAATACTAAGACAAAATGAGATTAACAAGATAGATACCAAAGGAATAGAGACAATGTGGTACCAATTAATAACGACTTTATTCAATATGATGTGCTGAATTTACGATGTTCTCAACATAAAATATTTTAGCAAGTTTCTCATATCGAAAAAAATATATCTGCACGTATATACGTGAAATAAGTAAAGAGGTTATGTAAAAATGAAATATTGAAAAAATAAAAATCTATACAACTTTGAATAAAAGTCTCTGATCAGATTAATTCTCACAGTATGTTAGTCGTACAGCAGATGTGCTAGATACGGTACTGTAGAGCTTCCGTACTTTTCTTCTATATCTCGTTCTACCGGAAGATATACAAGGAGAAAGATTTGTATGGAGTGGATGATTAATATCGTATAAAATAATAATTTTTAGTAGTTTGCAGGATCTCAAATGTCTATCAGCAACCATATTCATCATTACATCAAAAGAATTACCCCCTATCTTACAAACTCCCTTTAGCATTCTCCGCAACACAACGAACCCTTTTCTCGAAAGCCCAGGAGGGGATAAGGCATGATAAGACCAAGAGAGAACAGAAAAAAATACTTACACCAAAATAAACAACATTTAACGGGTTTTTTAGAGCTCCCCTAATAACAGAAACTTTATATGATTCCAACATGATGTTTAAGTGATTCCCATGACGTAGGTTAAAGTTAGGGGTTCAGAAATTGGATGTATCAGATCCAAGACCAATAAAAAAGACCTTCGTTCAATGAGTGCAAAGAACTGATGCATTACGAGTACATTTAGAAAGGAAGAAACTGATGTACATGCAGTATTGTCATCTGCATCCTTAAAAAGTGTTTCTGATTAAAGATTATTGAGAAAAAAAAGAGGACGGAAATGAGAAAAGAACAGCTGTTTGTTGCACACCAGCTTGAGTTAATTAAAGCAGTAGGATGCGTTTTACCAAGCACAGTATAATATTTTCTTTCAGAAAAGTAATATAACAACATTTTGATGTCAACACTGGTAAACAAATATAATAATGCTAGTCTTTGAACACAGTCGAAGGTAGATGTATTGCTGAAAAATGTACATTGAATATGTTTCCTACCCCTTTTCAAACAGAAAAACGGAACATCGTGAACATGATTTGAACGCACCTGCACAACTGTGAATGATTCTGAGATACGTCATGTAACACCTGCAACCATTGATTACTATCGCGCGGAACACGACCTAATAGTCTATATCTACCAACCTACTTCAGGCCTACACTCAGTGATTTCATGGATTGATGTCACATTTCGGTTTAAGGGCCATTGACCTTCTTCCAAACTATTTCGACGTCAATAAATATCACTTGTCAAGGTAGGTAGCAGTTCAGTATACATAACCCATGTCCTACCCACCTCAGTCGGTGAGGATTTACCTCATCGACCGATTTGCCACCCTTCCCATGGACCATATGCCCAACCACAACATTGTTCACTCGATCACTATACGATACAATAAGCGAATAATTTATGTTTGGATAATTAACTTTGAAGATGACTATGTAAAAAATAATTGACATAATTTAATTATTCTTCTCAATTAAGAATAATTAGCACTGCAATCAAAGAGTAGTTAACAACTAACACTAAGTAACGAGCTAATAATACTATCTTTTTTCAGAATGACTATCTTAAAGATTATTCTTTTGATGAGCTGTCATTTTTTTAAACAACAGATTAACAAGTCATTCAAAAGGGACATTTTGATATGCGAAGAAAAATAAAGTGAAATTTTATTTTATTTTGACAATGAATCGCTTAAAGTAGATAAACCATGAAAGACTGTCATGGTGAATCAGTATCAGTGATACTAAGAAAATAGTTGTAACTGATTGTACCTAAAAAAATAAATCTTTTTGTAAATTTACATACATTGAATATAAAAAATAAAACTAATAAGCTATCGGAACAGTCTTCTCCAATAATCTCAGACAAGTTAGTATATCCATCGGAACATTGGGAATGTGGTGAAAAACCTTTTGCTTGAATAAAATTTTAATGCCTAAACAATAGGAATTTTCTAGTATTTTCCATTAATCCAGTGGAAATTTTCACTGTAACTGTCCAGTTAATCTTCATTCCAACAAAAATAATCTTGAATGTAAATGAAGATTTATTTATTCACCAACCATGGATTTCATTATTAGTCTCTAACTGATTAAAAAGACATTGGAAATGATGTTATATATGTCGTTTACCTAACAGGTTAATAGTCACGTTTGAATACAGTAAAACAGGTAGGAGTTGAAATCAATTAAACACCAACCTGATATGCGTATATAATTTACATCAACAGATCAAGTGTTTCGACTAACAAACATAACTACATCAATGCATTACATTTTATCTACTTCTTCTTAATAGTTAATAACTTACGTCTCTTGTCCAGCAGTATCCCATAATTGAACAGTATACACTGAATTATTCATTTTAATATTTTTTGTTCGAAAATCAACTCCTTTAATAGAAAAAGAAAGATAAGGAACTGATTGAAACAAAATAACTTTTAAACATACATTTTGATATTATCAGTAGATTATAGTTTTCTTTCATACGATCTAAACTACAGAGTAATTCGGAAAAAAGATGATACAAATTGAATTTACAGAAATCTTATTTATTAATCCATGTGTAGATAATTGAAGGTAGCCGGTAGGAAACCATGGATCTAAGTTTCATGCTATTCAACACCCATCAGAAACACCTAACATTTCAATATAGTGGATATGATATCAAGTAATTTAGACTTGTGGGTACATTACAACTTGGTCGACATATATTCGATCGGCGTTAAAGAACTAGACAAATATGAAAGTGTTCATTACCAAGTGATCGGCCAGTTGTAACTTGCCTACGGCTGACGAAAATACTGAAATTACTAATCTAAGATGTAAGACAATTAAAATTTAACGAGAACAGATCATTTGTTTTGTGTTACTTTACATGTCTTCAAAAATATACATTACTTATATTTGAGAGTAAGATTTAATATTTTGTCGAGTGTCGAGTACATTCGAAAATCCATTGGTGAGGTAATAGATCTTCATCAACTGAGGTGGTGAGACATGTATTACGTATGCTCAACCACCGCCTACCTCAACGAGCGATGTTGTTTGTTGTAAGAGTAGGCTACAAGAAAGCTAAGAGAGGCCAAACCAAAACATGGCATCAGTCCATGAAGTCATTAACAACAGAATTGAGCTATATCAATAGGTGCAGACTATCTGGATGGGGTTCATGTGATTATCTAATGGATAAACAACCACTTATTTGTTCATATAGAAAGAAAACCAGCCTCGTGAATAAGGTCAACAAACGCTTGATGAATGGATAGAAAATGATAGTTTTTCAAAAAAGTTCCCTTAATGTAAGTTTTTACTATTTATGCTTAAGTTATAATTTGATTTGTTCTCTTTAAAAAGCTTTGATGAATTAGTTCTGATGGCAAGAAAAATTAACAATTACATTTTTCTCCACGGATGATTCACTTGGTTGATTTGTAAATAATTACTAGATTGAATCAACTGTTTTCTACAACTTATTCTTCAAATTCCATCTTGGAAGTATGTTTCACCAACTGAATCATAACCACTGAAAAACTCAGCAGAGTTATTTTTAATGAAATACAGAAACGGTAAATATTGATGGAGAAAAAGTAAATCATTTCTCCTTGAAATTGTCAAAACTATTTATTCAACTCACCTAAAGTAGCTCTAAGTTGTGGATAAAATATTCCATCACAAAATCGATATGAGAAACTAGATTTGCCAACACCTGAATCCCCGACTAAAATCACTTTAAATATACGTGTTGGTGTTAAAGTTTCTGTAGGGTTTTGTTCTTCAGTACTATTTTCAAGAGCTATAAATTCATTCTTATCAAAATTGGAGCCACTGACATTACTAATATTCTCACTAGAGTAATCTGAGCGTCGACATGTGGAATCAAGATGATGATTTTGTTGGCGTTGAAGTGGTAGAATATTTTCCAAATTATCAAACTCATACGCCTAAAATAAGTGAAATACATGAAAATTAAGACGCTTTTTTAAGTTCGTTCTCTACTAGCAACTAAATTCAATTACTTGAATAGATCTACAGCTACTCGATAGCATCATATTGTGATGCATACATATACGTAACCATAATGTCATTTCTCAAACAACCAGACCTATATATATCAGATTTAAATTCAATAGTGAACAGTTTTTATTTCATTCAGTCAGAGACGGTACAGCTACTGCGAAAATGTCACTCACTTTTTTCAATGTGAAAGTCATGGGAAACTTAGTGTTTGATGATTAATAAAGACATATTGTTTTATAAAAGTAATAAGAGATTTTAGAAGTCAAGATCTACTTGGATGATGGGATAATAATATCTCATTGAGGATCATATAACTATATAAATTGGTTCAAGTTATTTACAACATGCTCACTATGATAAACAGGATCTACTAAATTATTAAACTCAAAAAGTATCAAAGGAAAACTTATAAGCAGAGTGAAGAAATAATAATCTAGAACCAACAGTAAACAGTTTCTAGATAAGCAACGAACAAATAACATATACTTATTCTGACCACCAGCAAAATACGGTATTTGACTACTTTTGTTTCCTATGTTGAAAATCTAATTTGAAACGTGAGGAGAGTGGTCCATTTTACAAACTATATGCTTCACAACTTCCATAAGAATTGCGATATGAAATCGTCAAAATAAAATTCAAACATCTCAGATATCAGCTGTATTAATTTTATCATGCAAATCGATAATCCAACAACAGATAAGAGACTACTGTTTGACGGTTAAATTACCAAAGCTTATCAATAAACTAATGAACAACACTTTTTAATCTTTTCTCAAAGTTAGTATTTCTAGAATGATTGTTTGATTGAAAACAGATTACTTATCTACTGAATTTAACTGTAAATCAACATGATAGATGTACCAGTTGCAAATTCAACCCATCTATCGTTCAATTCTAATATTAGATCATTGTTCAGTAGGATAACAGTTCAATACATTGATATCGTGAATTGTAGATTGTAACGGTTAAAACATTTAGTAGAAAAATTTATAAATTACATCAGAATTCATCTAAACTGTTAATCAAATTATAATTACACTGTTAAAGTTCATTGAACAGATCTATATTAAACTATATAAAAATATTAGATCCTTAAGAAGCATTTCAGATAATCTTACATTATTGAAATTAATATCCTAATATTTGCTAAACATAATACTAATAATAAATACAAAAATGTATAAACCTTGTTCAAAATCCAAATTATTATTATTATTATTACTATTACTAATATTACTATTACTATTATTATTACTATCACTATTATTATTACTATCATTATTATTATTACTATTATTACTATTACTATTATTATTATTACCTAGTATACGTGCTCGTTTATGATTAAATCAATGTTTGTTAATGCTATGTTTATTGTAAATTAGAAACTGATCTCATATGAGATTTAAAATATTTTTTTATAGAATAATAATGATCCAGGTATGTACTTATTATTGGACATTGATAATTGTCCTTTATTCAGTATTATTATCATCAGTATTTATAAATAATGAATAGATCATGAATATATAATTTTTAAATGAATTAGTCATATGGAAACTCTTGAATAATGAAATTGTTTTATATAATGTCCATCAAATTAATTTTCTTTTTTTAATGTATATACCTTTCGGTTTAGAAATGATGATATTAATTATGAGATGTTTAAAGATGTCAGTTGTTTGTGATTGATTTCTCAAAGTAAAGTTTTACTTTAGGGTCTTACTGCAGAGATGATATTTTGAAATGATATCTTCTTGTTTGATAAAGAAGAGTTATTACTAGAAGATGCCTTTCCATTAAATAATATTTCTTCTGTAGTGCAAAATTACAAAAACCGGATACTATGAACCGTAAGTTTATTTATTTGAACGCATAACATTGGTACAGGAAGACATCAAATACATATGCGCCTCACAATAATAATGAGGCCGGTAACAGTCATCATTGATTTGTGAGAGGGATTTGATACTTCCAGGGTTTTTAAACTGAAGCAAGTGGTTTTCTTAGGGAGCCACACCTCGAGCCTTTCACCTAAAGGTCTAATCCACAAGGCAGTGGAGCAACGTCAGGAGATGCAGTTCCATGGTAGTCGGTGACCAACAATAGGTTGATACGCCTTTTGTCCACTTTGGATCCTGGAGCCTATGTGCACCATTGGTTTGGAATCAGGATTTTCTGACTCCCCTGAGTGGATCTTCTACGTCCACCATCCCGGTTAAAGCGTCAGACATTCAATTTTCGTCTTCTCCATTTTATAAGCAACACCCATTTGTGAGAAGGCGGTGAGCAAGACTTCCCTGGCAGTGATTGTATACGCGTAACCACCTGAGAGCATTTTGAGAGGGAGTGCTGACTTTTAACACCCTCGGCCGTACCAGGGCATTTGAGGGCGAGAACTTTAAGACTATGACTCGGTAGACGAATGATACAATCTAGATTCTTGAGTCAATACTCCCTTATGCGGTTGTGATTGTGCAATCGTTAATAACTAGGAAAAAACAATTATTAAGATCCACTCTCTGTTTTTCAATAAATCACCATCTAATGATAACCTGCAATGAAAACAGTCATTAAGTTGAATGAATCTTCATAAACTCCCTCTAGCCTAATTCATACATTTACCATAATTTTGCTTATCACCGACTGAAACAGAAACCACCTTATATTTGAAGTAACAGACTTCTTAAGAATATTTTTAAAGGTTAATAGGTCATGTATAGATATTTAAAAAACAATGAAATATAAACAAATTTTTATCTTTTCAGTATTTTCTAAAATCAATACTTCCTTTTCTTCTTAGAAAAAATACTGAAAACGATCAACTATTACTGAAACATACTTTATTATTATGACGTGACAGAGTTGATGTATGAAACACCAAATCCTTTAACTATACAATAGGAAACGTCTTTTATTCAATTTTTAGCTTACAGACTTATGAATTGTCCAATTATCCCACTTCAAAAAGAGACATTTTCTATTCATATATTTACAGTAAATTAAACAATGTAGTTATTTATGATAATGAACATATACTACTTATGGACGATTTGTTCGTTTACAGTAGTATTATTCTTAATACTAAACTTGTATCAGAAATCAATTCTTTGTTTTGCAAATCACTGTGTCTTAAAAGTGAATAGTTTTAACACTTAAAAACTTTAGTATTTATGATAAAAATTGAATGTGTTACTGTCCAGTAAACTGTACAAATTACTACTACTTCCAAACATATTGAACAAAGAATGATAGTTCTAATATAATCCGGTAGAATTCAATATTATAAATTAGACACGTTTTATCGTCCTGAATTTATGAGCGAAATAAGTAAACAACTAGATCTTTACAAACAACATAAAAACGTATACACATTCATACAACCATACACACAAACAAAAATATATACATATATGTACATATAAAAAGAAAATAAGAGAAATAATTCGTTACAAAACAAGATAAACAACAATTTAGGATGTAAACAACAACCATTAGTTAATACCAAAGATGAAAACAACTAGTGAGAAAATTCCCATATTAATTTTCGGTTATCACATCTAGTTGATATAAAATTTGAAGATCAGATAAATTTGAAACTAAACTAAATGTATATGTATAGCCCTAATTAACTTAGTAGTATGTACCTACTAGTTCAGTTATAAGCAAATATGAGCTAGAATGAGTGAATGACAGAGCTCATTTAGATCAGTAAATAATTCATGTTTGTAATAACGATGTTATGATGAATAACCTGAAAAGGCATTGGATTAAAATGTTTGTGTTGAACAATTATTAAAAGTAATCGACAGGTTCAATAGGTATTTTTCAAAGTAAGAGTTCTACTAATACCAGTAGTTGATAGTATATTTTTTCAACGAAATATCAGTCAAGAAGAACTATACATAGATAGATAGATGGCATTATGTTACAAACAAGTTTAAATCTGTTCAAATAAAACAAAGAAACTCTTAAATCATTATTGAATGCTCCAGATAATATGTAAATGATTTATTAGATGGCCTACTTTTTCCTGACTTCAGGTTACAACATATTCCTATTCTATAAATTATGAATTAAATTAACGTGATTATAAAATATAAACAAACAAACAAACAAACAGAGAACGATTGTTTATAGATTAATTTTTTAGGTCACATTGTATCATTAAGTGTGTTTCATTAAATTATTAATTCATTTTTCAAGTGTATTAAATGACTTCATTTAAGAGTTCTATTCCTTAATCCATTTTTTTACTCCTGCCTCTTACTTTCTTTCAATCTATTTCCTGAAAACTAGTCATTTATTTAACAGAATATACTTGGCTTTAATCTTTATACTATCATTAAGATTTATAGATTATATAACTTCCCATTTACATAGTGACCTTTTTAACTTAATTTTCCAAGATATTTCTTTTTGCAGTGAGGTTAATATAAATAAATATGGTTAGCAGACTTTATCGACTTTAGTAATCTAATAATATGTTAATCTTATAGGATTTGAATGATGCAAAAATGTTGTGTTCAATGTAAAAACAACTATTTACTGAAGTGGTTATATGCTCAAATGAAAAGTTGGAGAAATGTTTTCATTTTAGAAATTTTCGTTAACAAGGTTAATTTCATCACATCAGAGTTGACTGACCAAATAGTACTGAAAATTATGTAACAATCATATTTTTTCTATCCTACTTCATTCAAGTTGAAAAATACAACTTTAATTTCCGCAACGATAAGAAGTGAAATTATACATATTACTAGGATGCTACTACATTTATTGTACAACACAATACACTGTTGAGAAATCTCAAAATGGAACAGAAGAGTAATTGCTTTAGTAACCAATCCTTCCCAGTAAATGCTTAGTAGACATTTGTTTTGTGTTAAATAAAGTAAAATATTTAACAAATCCTGCCCGT